CCATGGTGTTTGGGAGCGGGGTGTGGGGCCATGTGACAATCCTGAGGACTGTGAGAGGGGCGCGGGACCAGCCTGGGGGACCGTGGACCCAAGGCTGGTCGGTGACTGTGACGCCCTGCAACAAGCGACACAAGCGACGGCCCCTCTGGCTGCAGGTGCGCCTCTGACCTTGCGGCGGCCCAGGCTGAGCTGGCGGGCGCCCAGGCCGGTGACGGCAGGGACGGCAGGGGGCTCGGCCGCGCGCGGCGCGGCGCGCGAGCGCGCCGAGGCCGCGGGCCGCGCCGCCGAGCTGGCGCGCCACGCGCTGGCGCTGCTGGAGGCGCGTGCGGCGGGGTCGGAGGCCGCGCAGCTGGAGGCCGCCGTCGCCGCGCTGGAGGCCGAGGTGGAAGGCGCAGCGGCGGCGGAGGCCGCGGCGAAGGAGCGGCGGGGCCTCTTGGAGGCCGCGGCGGCCGAGCTGGAGCGCGGCATCGCCAACTTTGGCCGCGAACGCGATGCGCTGACTCGCCGGGCCGCCGCGGCGGTCAAGACCGGCAAGGCCGCGCTGGAGGAGGCCAAGGCGGGCCAGCGTGCGGCCGCCGCCGCGCTGGCGGCGGTGGCCGCCGAGCGCGAGGCGGCCGAGGGCGAGCGCGAGGGGCTGCGGGCGGGGGTGCAGACCGCGCGTGACGGCGTGGCGGCACTGGAGGCGGAGGCAGAAAGCGCGGCGCGGGCCCTCGCCGCCAGCAAGGCCGAGTACGACGAGCTGGCGGGGCGGCTGGCGGCCTGCAAGGCCCGCCTGCACGACTGCGACAAGGGTGGGTGGGGAAGTTTGGAGCCGTGGGCGGGTGGGTGGTGATGTTTGGGTGGGAGAGTTTGGAGCCGTGGGCGGGGGGGTGGGGTGGGAGGGTGGTACAATGAAAGTTAGTGATACTTTGAGGGAAGGGTAACGGACTTGAGGTGGAGCTTGAGGGGCTGCTGGGGACGTGGTATGTGCAGAGGCCAGTGGCTTGGATATTCTAGGGAACCCCTCAGATACCTGGACACTGCCCAAACCCAGTCCCCAAACTTTCTTTCAACTGCGCTCCTTGTATTCAGAGATCGCGGCGGCGAAGAAGGCGCGTGTCCTGGTGGAGGAGGAGATTGCGGAGCTATCCACGAAGATGCGCAAGCTCCTGGCACGGTGAGGGGATACTGTGTTGAGGAGGGAGGTGCAGAGTGCCAGGATTGTGATCGCAACCCTGCATGCCCCTCCAGGGTTGTCTCTACTGCGCTCAGATCCCAATGAAAACCTCCTTCCCACCTCCAGAATTGATGCCGACAAGAAGCGGATGGGGGAGAGTGGCGACCTGCAGCAGCGGCTGGAGAAGGAGTACCCCTGGATCCCCTCGGAGCGAGAGCACTTTGGGCGGCCGGGCACCGACTATGACTTTGCGGCCCGCGACCCGGAGGAGGTGAGTGGCGAGGTGGAAGGGACCTGGCTTTGGTTGAACATGCCCTCTATATGAAGCTTTGACGGCGCGGTGCACGAGTAGCCTTCTGATTCCGGCCGGATAAGAACAGGGGTGATGTGCTACGGCTCAGACTCATACCCTGGGAATGAGGACCTTTCAGCAGGCGCGCACCCTCACGCTCGTTAGTCACCCAACCACCCAAACCTGTGCCCCCACCAACACCCCACCTCCCAGGCGTACGCGGAGTACGAGGCGGCATGCAAGACCCTGGAGAGCATGAACAAGCGGGTGAACAAGAAGGTGATGGCCATGTTTGACAAGGCGGAGGCCGAGTACGGGGAGCTGAAGCGCAAGCGGGACGTGGTGGAGGGCGACAAGCGCAAGATCCAGGAAGTCATGGAGGAGCTGGATGAGAAGAAGCGGGCGGCGCTGGAGACGACGTGGCACAAGGTCAATGGCGACTTTGGGGCCATCTTCAGCACCCTGCTGCCGGGGACGAGCGCCAAGCTGGAGCCGCCCGAGGGCGAGACCTTCCTGCAGGGTGAGTATCCTGGGAGTCGGAGGGGGGACTTGGGATGGGAGGGCTAAGATGGGCCTGGCTGTACATGCAGCACGGGGTGTACACAAGGAGAAGAAGTGACGTGCCAGACCCCAGCGATCAAGGGCCTAGCCTGCCTCCGAGGATCAGCCGGACGACTTTTTCTGTTGCCCACATAAACACTGTGGCAACACCTCCTAGAATGTTCACCTCCCCCACCTTCTCCCCTTCCCCTCCTCTGACATACAGGCTTGGAGGTCCGGGTGGCGTTTGGTGGCGTGTGGAAGGAGTCCCTCAGCGAGCTCTCGGGTGGGCAGAAGTCCCTGCTGGCCCTCTCCCTCATCCTGGCCATGCTCCTCTTCAAGCCCGCCCCCATCTACATCCTGGACGAGGTGGGCGGGGGACCGAGTCCGAGGAAGGCTCTGTCTGCGCCCTGAGTGCCCACACGGGCAAGGAGGACCGTTAAACTTGCCGCTCAATTGCCTATCAGCCCCTCACTCGACGGCCACCATCCCGCAGGTGGATGCCGCGCTGGACCTGAGCCACACCCAGAACATCGGGCGCATGATCAAGACCCACTTCCCTCAGTCCCAGTTCATTGTCGTGTCGCTGAAGGAGGGCATGTTCAACAACGCCAACGTCCTCTTCCGCACCAAGTTTGTGGACGGCGTGTCCAACGTCTCCCGCACCGTGAACAAGCCCACGGAGGCCAGGCGCGTGGAGGACAGGGTCTGTTGTGTGTTATCGGTGACGGCTGCTCCAAGCTGCATGGCTACTCGCAAGGGGACTCGGCACGATCCAACCTTGTGTGACCCCTTCACTTTTGCAGGCCGTCAAAGGCGGCCAGCCAGCGGGCCCCACTCAGGGAAAACATGCGTGTCTGAAGCTCCGGCCGTCTCGAGTATGGCTATGCACTCCCTGCTGGGCAACAATCTTGTGCATTCCCACGCCACCCTCCCTTCAACTGACCCCACTGTGAGACTCTGACGACCATCGTTGCAATGCTAGCAGCAAGTACATGGAGGGGGATGCAGGAAGGGACACCTGGCGGTGAGGGCTCACAGACACATGAGAGGGTGCCCGGGGACGTGGGCAAGCCCGGCATGGTGTGCCCATCACAATGGAAATGGGAGCGACTCAGCCACCAAGACCCAGGCACCTGGCTTCTGAACTGATCGCTTATCGAGCCTGCTCTCCTGCTTTGCTGGTCGGCGCCACGGATGCGTCCGGTTCGCGGTCAGAAGTCGTGCCCTCCACACCGTCAGCAGTGGGGCTGTCTTGCCCAGGTTTCTCTTCTTTGACCGGTGGCTGCCCTTCGTCTTCGTCCTGCCGCTCGTCCTCACCCGCCTCACCGCTGCTGCTCGGATACGGGGAGGACAGGTCATTGTCCTCTTGGTCCCCCTCCGGAGCAGGCACTGACGTCTCATCGGAGGCGCCAGGCCTCCCCTCCTCTGGCTCGTTGGCCTCCTGTAAGTCATTGGCCTCCTCTGACAGGGCCTGACCAGGCGCACCGCCGCCCTCCTGCCCTCCCCTTGTGCCCGCCGGCGACCTTTGCTCCGCCGGCGACCTTTGCTCCGCCTGCTGCGCCTGCTCCGCGGCCAGGCGCGGCTTGGTGACAAACTGCCAGTCCACCCAGCCCCGTAGCGGCTCCAGGGCTTGATCCAGGGCGACCGGGTCGACGGGCAGCGCCCCCAGGCACGCCAGCAGCTCGCGCGCGTCGCTTTCCACCTGGCGGTCGAAGGCCGCGGCGGTCACTCCCGCCCGCCCCGGCGCCCCGCGCGCCGCACCGGCCAGCGACCACCGCGCCCCGCCCGCCCCCGGCGCCTCCAGCGTGCTGAAGGCCTCGGCGCAGCGCTCCGCGGCCATGCCCGCCACGCGGCCGAACACGGCGTCCAGCTGGCGCGCGCTGAGCAGCGGGCCCAGCACGCCGCTCAGGATCGCCAACTGGCGGGCGGTGGTCGTTGCAAAGGCGCTGGGGGGCGGCAAGCAGCGCAGCGAGGGCGTGTCGGTGCCCTTGTTGCTGTCTGAGGGGCCTCCTACATTGTCCCCGGCAGAGGCACGCGGCACACCGACGCTGCCCTCGCCGTTTGGCCACCCGCCCCCGGACGCCGCGGTCCTCAGGCTCTCGCCCAGGCCCGCCAGGTTTGCCTCCACCCGCTCGCGCATGATGCCCACGAACTTGGCGCAGACCTCGTCGGCGTGGAGGTGCATGTCGCGCGCCGCGCGGGCAAACCCCGCGGCCAGCGCTGCCGCGCGCGGGCCGCCCCCCGCCCCCGCGCCCAGCACGTGGGCCAGGGCCGGGGCCAGAGCGGCCAGCGCGCCCACGGAGCGCGCGGCCAGCGCCAAGTGGCGCGCGGTGATGCTGCGCAGGCCGGCGGAGGCCATGGCCCCCGCGCCCAGCACCAGCTGGCAGGCGCGGGAGTTGAAGAGGGACAGCAGCTCCAGCGCGCGCTGCCCGGCCTCGGGGCAGACGCCCGGCGCCGCAGCAGCCACCTCCGCGTACTCCCCCAGCGCGCGCACCAGCGCCAGCGCCGCGCCCGCGCAGGCGAAGGCCTCGCCAGACACGGCCAACGTCGGGGCGGGGGGCGGCTGTGTGGCGCTGGGGTCGGCACCCGCCGCGGCACCCCGCCCGCCCGCCAGCGCAGTGTGGCTGTCGGGCACGGTGATGGTGAACTTGCGCGGCACAGGGCCGCGTGGCGAGGCGGTGGCCGAGCCGGGGGAGCGCCCCGTGGCGCCGGGGCTGAGCAGCAGGCCGGGGATCGCGATCTGGGTGCGCTGCGCACGTGGCGAGCGCTGCGCGTCGCTCGTGCTGCGGGGGGCGGGCGACGGCGGGCTGCGGGGCGGAAGCCCGGTGAGGGTGGGCGGGGACCGCGGTGGGGAGGCCGGGGGCGTCGCCGGGCTCCGGTGCTGTTGCAGCGGGGGGTAAGGGCTGGGGCTGGCTTCTGCTGGCGCAGGCACTGTCGCTTCGAGGGGTCCAGGTGGTTCCCGGCGCTCGTCGGCCGTCGGTTCTGAGGCTTCTTGGGAGCCATCGGCACCGGTCGCATCGCCAGTGCCACCCTCGCGTGGCTCGCCGGCCAGCTCCTCCAGGCCTTCCGACTGCTCCCTCCCATCCTGCTCGGCACCGCCCCTCTCGCTGCCGCCCTGCAGGCGCTGCGCCTCGCTTTCCAGCAGCTCCACGATGCGCTGGGTGCTGGGCGGGACAGCCGCCTGGGACCAGACCTCCCTATCCAGCAGGTCTGCGGTTTTTGGGGGCGCCGGTGTCGCAGGTGGTGCGGTGGGCAAGGGCATGAACGTGGCACCTTTTGGTCGACATGCTCCCAAAGAAGTTCTGAACGCTGGGCCGCCAGACAGAACTCGGCCGATGCAGGGATGCTCATCCACCGCATGCCCCAAGACATCCCAGAGTCCCAGCCAACTTGAGGGCCAGACAAAGCCCCGCCCCCTACCCTCCGCCAAACTCACGCGACAGGCGCGCCACCTGGCGGGCGTGCATGCTTTCCAGCAGCGCGCGGCAGTGGCGCATGGCGGTGGAGCGCAGCATGGCCTGGACCCTGGTGCCGGGCACCCCCGCCCCGGCCACCAGGCCCAGCATGAGCTGGGAGGAGGCCAGGAGCGCATACACGCCCACCAGCGCCTCCTCGCTCGCCAGCGGGTCCTCGGCGGGCAGAGCTTCTGGTGCCGATGGCTCTGATGCGCTGGCTCCCGGCGCCCCCGCCCCGGCGCCGGCGCCCGCCGTCCGACTCACGAGCTCGGCGCCCAGCGCGTCGCCGCGCGCGGCCACCGCCCGCGCCCAGGCCGCCACCGCGGCCTCCGACAGGCGGTGCGCCGCGTCGCGCTGGGCCGCCCCCAACGCGCCCAGCGCGGCGTCGTCGGCCCCGGCGGCGGCCACCGCGCTGCGCATGGCCGCGGCCCGAGCCCCGGCATGCCGCAGCACGACGCCGATGGCCAACAGCGCGGCGTCCAGAAAAGCGGGGAATGTTGGTGAACTGCAGAGCGCGGCGGGGATTGCGGGGGCCGCCACGTCCTCCTCTGAGGAGTCGTGCGCGGCCGGTGGCGGGCTGGACTCCCCCGCGCTGCCGGCCAAAGCAGCACTCAAGCAGCCCGCGGTGGCGTGCCTGAGAGGGGTGGAGGATGTGCTTGTGAGTGCTGAGGATGGGGCACTGCGGCGTCTACCTGCGCGCAAGACCACCGAGGGGCGTGTCTCAGACATGGGCACGACCAACCCCTCCCCAACCCCCACCAGCTCCTCACCTCAGCACCGCGCCCAGCGAGACGCAGGCCGCCTCGCCCTGCGCGCGCACGGCCTCTGCCACTCGCCCCGCCCTCACCAGGCCCGCCGCCAGGGAATGGAGGGCCGGCGCGGGCGGTGCCGCCAGGCGCGGGTCCGCCTCCGCCTCCGCCAGGCACTCGTCCAGCGTCCGAGCAGGGGGCCCCGCTGCAGGCCCCGTGCGTGCCCCGTCCCGCTGCCCTGTCGGCGCCGCCACCGGTCCGCGCACCTCGCGGAACCTGGCCACGGCATGCGCAGTCACGCTCTCCAGGTCGCGCAGCGTGGTCAGCGCGACGGCGTCGGCCACCAGGCACGCGTCCACGGCGGCGGCCGTGGCGGCGCAGCGCTCCGGCAGCCCACGGAGGCAGTGCAAGCGGCGCAAACCTGGCGTGGTCAGCGCGCCGCGCAGCACGCCCAGCACCTCCAGCGCGGCCGCCAGGTCAGCGCCGCCCGCGCCCGCGCCGCCGGGGCCGAGCAGGCCTTCCAGTGCGCAGCGCGCCGCGTCGGCCGTCTCCAGCGCTCGCAGCACGCCCAGAGCGCGCAGCGCGTGCCGGCGCTGCCGCAGCAGCGCGGCCGAGGCCGCCAGCTCGGAGCCCAACTCGTCGCGCAGCGGGCACAGCGCGCGCCGCGCAGAGTGCGCGCCGCCGGCCGCCGCGGCCACGGCCTCCGCCACGGCCGCGACGTGGCCCGAAGCGCCGAAGAGCGAGGTCGCTCGCGCCACGCTCTCCCTCACCAGCTGTGTCTCCACCGTGTCCTTTCATGACGCGGAAGAGAAGGAGCAATGGCGCATGAGAGGGGTGCAGATGGGCGGAGATCATGGGAAACCCACCTGTGCCCAGGCGCAACACATGCCCTTCCCCTCCACAGCCTCGACTCCTACAAATGCCCCCTCACCAGGTACTGCGCCAGGGTCTCCAGAAACTGCACCCCTGCCACGGGGTCGGCGGGGTCAGGCACGGCCCGCCAGAGGTCCGGCGAATCGAAGTCAAAGCCCTCGTCGAAGAAAAAGGCGGGGACGTCACGCAGGGCGGTGGCCAGGCCCTCCCCCGTCAGCGACTGCATCTCCTCTGCGCGGGGGGGGGGGGGGGCGGGGGACTTTGCAGGTTGCGAGACTTGGTGGCCTGTGCGGAGCTGAAGCAAACCCTCGCATTGATTCCCTGCCTATTGCACATCCGGTCACCCACCAAGAGACAGCGGCTGCGGCGAGGAAGCGGCATGGGATTCACGGCGGGGGGGTAACCCCGTCTCCAAGCTCCGCAGGTAGACCTCAAAGTCACGGATGGTGATCTGTGGGTGAAGCAGCAGTTCCGTGATGTTGCTGCGCAATGAGGAGATTGTGGACAGTGACAGCATCACCGCCTGCATCATCGCCCTCCAATGCCATCCTCTACACTGCCACACATTGGGGTATTGATCTGGAGGCAGCGACGGGGGAGGCCCATCACCCTCGTACGATGACGACGCAAATGGCCAGGCCACCCACGAGTTGGCATTGCCAGGGTCGTTGATCACGGCCTGTAGTTCCTGGGCAGCAGCAGCGGCAGCGCTGCTGGGGCTGATACTGGGGTCCGAGGAGGTGCGGTCCAACAGACGCAGCTTCCTCAGCGTCGGGTCCATTGCATGAACCGACGATCACATTATCATGTATCTTCTGGGTTGCCGCCTCTGATGGTAGAGGGCCCCCAAGGAATATGAGGCCATCTGGGTGGCGCCAGGGGCGCCAGATGTGATCTGCAGGAGCGCAAGCCCGACGTCAAACCACAGCGGTGATAGTATTGTTCAGCTTTCTACAAAGGCAATGCCACAAAAGCTGCTCGATGATTGCATCGGAATAGCATCTGGGAACGCTTTCGGGTGGACAACTCCCCCATCCGGCCTGGTCTCGCGCGCGGACTGGCCAGGGTTTCAAATTCGCATGCGAGTCAGATCAGCAAAAACAGACCGCTCTCGGCTCAGGCAGACACTTGCATAACGTTGGTCTATCAGAATGATGAGCTTCCCAAATCCTGCTGGATGAAAGATCGATCGGTGGGCACGAGTACAGGCCCCGCCCTGTTGGCTCTCGGGCAGTCCTGCGAGGCCCAAGGATGCTACTGTGCTGCCGCCCGGTGCTACGCTGCCATACCTGGCACCACTCAGACAGCTCCTGTGTATGCACAGGCAGCTCTTCACCTGGCTCGCCTGCTCTTGGCGAGATTTGAGAATGTCCCGGAGGCCCTGTCGGCGCTCCACACCGCAGTGGGTGCAGCTTGGCAGTGAGGGGGTGCCCTTCCAACTTTCTTGCGATAAGATTGCTGTCCAATGGGGATGCACTCACCTCCTGTCGTCATCTTACCTACCCCTCTGCATTGCAGACACTGCACCTGAGGGCATCCAATGAAGAAACCACAACCATTTCCTGCCAGCTGCACGACTGCCTGGCAGACTGCCACCGAGCGCAGGGCGAGCCCGAGTTGGAGCTGAAGGCTCTCCGCGCTGGGCTCGAAGCATGCGCACGCGCCAGTCCAAAGGCCGATAGGTGAGGATCTGGGTGAGGTCGTATCTATGACTTTGAGGGCCAGTCCTTGCCTGTTTTCAAGAGTTTGCTGCTCAATCGCAGCCATCAATCTTGCCCCGCATCTGCTATATTCTATGTAATCCACCCACCCATCCCCTGCCCTGCAGGCCCACAATCGCACGCTGGCGTTCCTACTTCCTCTTTCGTGCCCTGGAGTGCGCGGCCGCGGGCGAGGACGAGCCTGCGCTGACCCAGGCCCTGAGGGAACTACAGGGCACAAGGGCTGATCTGACTGCCGTGGAGCAGGTATGCTGGCTGGCAGGCCTCTGTTGTGGCCATGCAGATGGGCCTGGAGCGTCACGAGCAAGCGAGCGTGGTCCCTATCGAAGGGGGTGCTTGTTTCCCCCATGGGTTCCTCTGACAATTCCGGCACCGTCGCCCACCTGACAGTACCCAGGGCACTCCCACCCACCCTGTCCCCCTGGCCGATCGCCAGGTTTTGGTCGACCTCTGCCACTGCACGGTGCTCCTGGCACGCCGCCGCTTCGACGCCGCGCTGAGCCAGGCGGGGGCCACCTTACCTGCTGCGACGGCAGCCGCCGCCGCCCTCCCGGCCGGTACGGGGGATGCCCTGGCCTGGCACGCGCGTTTTCTCTCCTTGGCGGCCAGGCTCCAAGCAGGCGAGCTTGTAGCGCTGCAGCCACCAGGTGCGTGACGCCTTGCACGGCTCACAATGCCCGACCTGCATGTTCTGGTGCTGGCGGAGCAAATGGGAGGCGTGCAAAGCATGAGTGGCCCTCGAATCCCTCCTGATCTCAGAACCTCTCACCACCCCCGCCGGACAGACTGCCCCAGCCTGGTCGACCTTCAGGGCGCGCTGGAGATTGGGAGCCGGGATGGTGCGCCGCGCTGGCCCTACCGGTGGATCGCCCCCGCCGCGCTCTCCGCCCTGCTCCACACCTACCACGCCTCCCTCCTCCTAGCCAGCGGGAAGACGGCGGCGGCCGCCGCCGCCCTGCGGGAGGCCGGCGGTCCCGAGGCGGACCTCCAACCCTGGGCCCGGCGCCTCGCGCGGCGGCAGGCCGCGGTGCAGGCCCTGGCCTGCTGCGACCTGGCCGGCGCCGCTCGGCTGTTGGTCGATGCCTGGTCCACAGACGACGAGGCTGGCGGGGCGGAGCCGCAGCCATCCCCCGCCTGGACCCTCCTCGCAGGTGGGCGGGCGGGCCTTGTGTGTTGATCGGCTCTGGCCGTGCATGGAGCGTCCAGGAACAACCCTGGGTGCCGTGGCATTCAGGGTATTGGGGCAAGGGCACAGTGCATTGCTCCAGTGTGCAGTTCTGAGGGTCTCAGTCGGCTCACAGCCCTCATGGGCCCCCTGCAGGCCTGTACCTCGCGACCCTGGGGCGTGGCCCCGCAGCACGGCACCTGCTGGCAGCCTCTGGCCAGAACGGGCCGCCAGCCGTGCGCCACCTGGCGGCGTTCCAGACATCGGTGCACTGCCTGGAAGCCGGCGACCTGGAGGGCGCCGAGGCCGCCCTCCGTGCATTTGGGACAGACCCGGCCCTGTCACCCCTCCACGAGCGGTGAGTGGCAGCGTGGGTGGCCAAGGCTGACGTTGTTGATCGGTGCAAAGCCATGCTGGAGTTGCCATGGTGCAGTTCCCACCAAAACTCCCCTCCCCACTCCACGAACAGGGCCGCTCAGATGCTGGCGCAGGGCCTGCTCGCCCTGGCCAAGGGCGATGCGGTGGGCGCCAAGCTGGTGCTCAGCCGCTGTCTGAAGCTGGCACACCGACGGGTGGGCAACACGCAGCTGGTCGCGCAGGTGCTCAACGTGCTGGGGCCCCTCCTGGCGTCCCAGGGGGACCGCGAGGGGGCCGACCAGATGCTCACCTCCTCCGCCACGCTGAGCAGGGCCCTGGGCGATGCGCCCTCGCTCCTGGCCGCCCTCCGCGCCGCCTGCGAGGCTGGGATCGGTACAGATGCGGAGCAGGGCGCTGCCTACCTCGCCAAGAAGGAGGGGCAGCTGGCGGAGCGCGTGGGCGATGTGGTGGGGTCGGGAGCCCATGCAGAGCTCGTACAGGTGATCCATGCCCACTGGCCCGATGCTCCCCTGGCGGGACATCTACCTTAACGTATATTCTTACAATGAAAATTTTGGTATGCGTGTGCAATATGGCCCCAGAGAAGTGTCCACATGCGAATGCACCCGGTGGGTGTTCCCATGCGACTCCCGGGGCCCTTCACGACATATGTCCGACATGTCACGCCTCGCCGGCTCAGTTGGACCGGGCACGTCTGGGGTGTTTCCACAAGCCGGCCATCACGGAGAAGGCACAGACAACTCCTGAGAGCGAGGTGGTTCCAGACCTCCTCTCCGGCATGAGGTGCCGTCACTTCACACCCTGCCAGGCAGCGGAGACCAGGCTGGCCCACCCTCCCCCAGCCAGGCCGTCTGTCAAGGATGCCAGGGTATTCATACGCCCTCACCTTCGTAATCTGGCCCCTTACAAACCCATCGTACCGCTGGACGTCATCTCCGCACGGCTGGGCTTTGCGGAGAAGGACATCGTGAAGCTGGACGCCAATGAGAATCCCTATGGGCCTCCCCCAGAGGTCACGGCTGCACTTGCCAGCTTGGAGTATCCCAACATATACCCAGACCCGGAGTCAAGGGCCTTGTGCGAGGGTCTGTCTCGGTGGCATGGAATCCCTGTGGAGCACCTCATGGTAGGGCTCCGAGCCGGAGCAATGCATGGTGGGGTTGCCAGGCTGTGTGGCACAATGCCATACCTGCCGGCCTGCATGCATGCTGTGGGGAGTTGAAGTGTGTCTGGAGCCCTGCTCTGCCAGCATGATGCGTTGTCCTTCTGAGCCACTGTGTCCGCCGGTGTCACCCAGCCGCCCTCCCATGCCGCCGCACGCAGGTCGGCGCCGGTGCTGACGAGCTGCTGGACTTCATCATGAGGTGTGTGCTCGAGCCGGGGGAGTACATCGTGGACTGCCCCCCCACATTCACCATGTATGCTTACGATGCGGCGGTAAACGCCGCGCGTGTCTGCACCGTCCCCCGTCTGGACGGCTTCAGGCTCGACATCAAGGGTGCGTAGCGGTTGGCCAATGGCGCAGATGTTTTTTGCTGCCGAGCATGAAGGTTCTGCATGCGTGCCTTTGACGACAGCTTGGACGAGGCCGTGCTGTGACTGAGCACCCATGCCATGACCCTGTCCAATGGACAGGTGACCAACTGCACCTTTCAGCTTCCCCTCCTGTCTCACTCAGGCATCAAGAAGGCGGTGGAGGAGGTACGCCCCAAGATCCTGTTCCTCACCTCCCCCAACAATCCAGATGGGAGCATTGTGTCAGACGAGGATATTTTGGTAGGTTGAGGACTGTGGAAGGGCTTCACAAACGGAGGAGACCTGTACATGGGTCCACATGTGACCGTGGAGGGACTCAGAACCCCAGATTGCACAAGCAGCCCCGTGCATGCTGCCCTCCCCCATGTCCCAATCCGCAGGAGCTGCTGGAGCTCCCGGTGCTGGTGGTATTTGACGAGGCATACATTGAGTTCTCCGACGAGCCCTCAAAGATGGGCTGGGTGCAGCAGTATGAGAACCTCATTGTTTTGCGGACCTTCAGCAAATGTGCCGCGCTGGCTGGCATGCGGTGAGCGGGCCTGTGTGGGGTCTTGTGTGGTTTGTTGTCTCACTAGGGGATGGAGCTGGCATCCGAGCAGATAGCACTCACCCTCATCCCTCAAATGTAACTGCTCCCTCCCAGGCTCGGCTACGGCGCCTTCCCCCTGAGCCTCATAGAGGTGCTGTGGCGGGCGAAGCAGCCCTACAACGTCACGGTGGCCACCCAGGTGGCCGGCCTGGCGGCCATGCGCAACATCCCCTACATAGAGGTAGCTGCGAGGGGGGTTATGGTGGGGCAGGGCTGCAGCAGCCGGGCCTCGGGCCGGTCTTGGGCACTCTGTGAGTCGTCTCCCATGTCTGCACCTAGCAGGGGCAGGGAAGCTGCTGCCCATCCTCACTCCCCACCCACCAACATTGCACATCCTCATCCATGCCCCCGCCCCCCTTTCGTCCCAGCGCGTGCGCGACCTGCTGGTGGTGGAGAGGGAGCGGCTGAGCGCAGCCCTGCTGGAGCAGGTGCCCTACCTGCGCCCCTTCCCCAGCCACGCCAACTTCTTGCTGTGCCGCGTGACCGACGGGCGCGACGCGGCGGCGCTGAGGGAGCGCCTGGCGCGGGAGTACGGCGTCATGATCCGCCACTACAGCACCCCGGACCTGCAGGACTGCGTGCGCATCAGCGTGGGGAAACCGGAGCACACGGACAAGCTGATCGCTGCGTTGGTGGCGCTGCAATGACGGCCCGAGGCCGCGGGGTTGCTTGGCACACCTGCCCCTTCTCAGGTAGCCTGAGGGGGCACAGGAGTGCGTGCGTCAAGAGGCCTGTGTTGGGGGCCCTGCATGGCCCTTTCCCTCCAGGACCCCTCTGCACGAGAGACAAGCCTTGTGGGCACCAAGACCTGCCGCTCGGCCTTGCATCCTTGTGTCAGTGGTGCCACATGAACTGTCACAGTACTGAGAATTTACACTTGCGCCGTGGCCATACAGACAGACAAGGGGGAGGGCGAATCTGGGTTAATGTTGTACACGGCAAAAGGCTGGACAGGAAGCTTGAATGCTCCCAGGCTGCGGACACTGCATGCGGGGAGGATCATCGGTCGAGGCCTGCAAGGGGTGCCTCACCCCAGGCGTGGCACGCGAACAACGCTACCCTCATTATTGTGGAAGATGCGGACGCGGTCGCGGCGGTAGTCCATGGTGACCACCCGATCCTGACCCACGGTGAAGACCTTGAGGTTTGGGAAGGCGCGCTCCAGCTTGGCCTTGGCTTCGTCCTTGTCCATGCCCACCTGTGGGGGGAGGTTTTTTAACATCAGGTGATGGTGAACAGTCATTGAGCCAGGAGCTCATGCAAAGTATCTCCCCTTGGCATTCCATCAACCCAATGAGGAAGTATATCCCCAGCTAGCTTGTCAAAACTCTGAGGGTCCGCACCAGGTCAGGCCACGCCTCCGTCTCCTCGGTGCTGGCCATCCTGCTGAAGAGCGACGAGATTCCTGGCAAGGGGAAGGAGGGGGTGCTGAGCAGAACTGGCTGGAGGGCGGTTGGTGGGATTATATCACCCAAACGACACAGCCCCACGATCCCTGCACTCTTTCACACACCTTGGTCGCTATCGAGGGCCTGGACTGTTACCTGCGAGCACCGGTCGGCAATTCCAAAGAGGGTACTCAGCACAAGCAAAAGACCCAGTCCGCACGCGGTAATCAGTAGAACAGCCCCGTGAGAGCCCCCCCCCCCTCATCTCACCAGGGAGATGGCAGTCACGCACGCTAGACACAAGAGTAAGCTGCAGGCTCTTCGGGATAGCACCATCCCTGGGAAGACTGTCGGCCGACGGCGAGTTCCTCAGAGACGTATCCCTTCAAGACTCGAGAACGTGAAAGGTAAAGTGCCTCGGGGCCTGCTGCTGAGAATACGCAGGGCGCGAGCTTTTCTGTCTTGTCCCCTCCGGGGTTACGATGTTCCAGCTTTCTTTCCAAGGCCGTCCAAGTATTGAACAACATTGCGACAGGCGGACGGATACTGACCGCGACTCGAAGCACCTGGCGGGCCAATTCATGACACCCGGAAGCCGTGCATGGCTGGAAAAGAGCTAAGATGACCTCCCGCACTCCCAGAGTGAAGCTCGTGCTGAAGCTGCAGGAGGGGAGCACGACGGTGCAGGTGAGTTTCCGCCGAGCTGTCCAGCGCGGGAGTCAGCGAAGAGATAACATCATCCTCGTTCTCCCAATTTAACAACCTCATCTTTTACCACTCCCCAGGAGCCGGATCGGGAGGTCGTGAAAGGCATCGTGCACGGTGAGGCACCCTCATCCCGGAGAAGAGCGGAGTTGCAAGTACTCTGCCAACCCATGCGCATGCCAGACCTCCCATCCATGCCCGTCCGCAGGCTATGAGGTGGTGGAGGTGGACGGATTCACCTACAAGCGCCGGCGACAGCAGAGCCCGGTTGCGGGGATCGAGAACACGCCTCCCAATGCCACGCCGGTGGCCACGCCAGGCCCTCCCATCCCAGGGCCTCCGCCCCCCGCACCCACCCCTCCACCGGCCTGCCCCTCCCTGGCCACCCAGCTGGCGGTGAGAAGGTACCTGAAGGAGCACACCAGCCAGCTTCCGGAAGTCGCAGAGCCTGCTGACCGCCTCGCGGCCGTGGCTGCCAGCGTGGGCGAGACGGTGCTGGACACCTGCACCGACGAGGCCGTGACCACGGCCCTGACCTCCATCCTGCAGCGCTTCCTCCTCCGCATCCGCACAGAGGCGGCTGCGGGGCGCCTGGGCTGCCAGGTCTGGGAGGCGCGGGACGATGCGGCACCCCCTGATCACAGCGCCGAGTCGTTTGCGCCAGACCTGCAGGCCCGGAAGGCGGGGCTGAGGGCCCGACTCACGCGATACGCCGATGTGGGTTGGTGGGTGGTTGGTGTCGGATGGGACTGCTGATGGGGAGGAGGGTATCCAGGATGGGCTTCGGTGGGCCCTTGCTCGGGGTTCATGCCCTCCAGCTGCTTCTTATCATGGCATCGAAACCCGAGCATGTGTCCGTTTCCCAGAGCTGGGGCCCGGTGCTAGGCCCCCAAGCTCCCTCCAGCACTCGCCAGCCACTCACCCACTCTCACCCGCTGCTGCGCAGGAGGAGAAAGAATGGCACGCGCTGCTGGAGAGCGTGCGGAGCAGCAGCGGCGTCGCCGGCGGCCTCATACCTGAGGAGCCTGAGGCGGGCCCCGCCCCGCCGGCGCCGGAGCCGGAGCCAGAGGCGGTGGGCACACTGCGCGCGCTGCGCGCCGAGGTGCACGCGCACATGGCCCTCCAGGTGGAGGGCCTGTGCATGTTGACTGCGGACGTGGCGTCGCTGGTGGAAAGCGCGGGAGTCCAGGCGCGGGCGGCGCAGCACGAGTTCCACCAGGAGCGCTTCCGCGCCTTCTCCCACGTCGACTCGCCGGCGCGCCTAATCCAGGCGTTGACGCAGCCGCCCCTGCCCCTGCACCGGCTGGAGGGCTGATACCTGTGTGTCCCCCTTGTTTGACCCTGACCTGTGTGCCCAGGAGGACCACCTCGATGCCCTTGTCGGGGGCGGTCCTGCCTGGTCCCGCCCCTTGCCCCAAATGTGCGACGACTGTAACTGTATTGCCCCGCATGTACTGCTTGGGGGGGTCACGCTGTGCCTGTTGGTCAGCCTCTAGAGCACTCTTTGCCCTCTCCGAGGCCCCCTCCTGGGCCAGGCCTTCCCCCTGGCCACTCGATGCACGGTGCAGACTCGATTACATCCAATGGTGCGGTGCCCTGCCCGACACAGGGCAGGGCACACGCTCGGGAGAGGATGGGGGTGATCGTCCCCCCCAACATCCCGAGTGGTACCCTCACCGACTAGCTCTTTCCTCCCTTTCTTCTACATGGTCATGCCGGCGGGCATGCCCGCGGCGCTCATGCCGCCGGGGGGCGGGGCCTTCCCGCCCTTGCGCGGCCGCTCGGTCATGACGGCCTGGGTGGTGAGCATGATGCCCGCGATGGAGCAGGCGTTGATCAGCCCCGACCGCGTGACCTTGGCCGGGTCCAGGATGCCGGCGTCCAGCAGGTCCTCCACGCGGTCGTGCATGGCGTTGTAGCCCACGCCAAAGTCCTTGCCCAGCAGCCGCTGGACGATGACCTCGCCCTCCACGCCCGCGTTCTGCGCGATGATGCGGCAGGGCGCGCGCAGGGCCTGGCCCAGGATAGCCGCGCCCTGGCGCTCCTCGGGGTGCTCCAGGGTGGCGACAAAGTCGGGCACCAGCTCGGAGAGGTGCAGCAGCGCGGCGCCGCCGCCAGGCACGATCCCCTCCTCCACCGCGGCAAAGGTGGCGTTCTTGGCGTCCTCCACGCGCAGCTTGCGGTCCTCCAGCTCCGCCTCAGTGGCGGCGCCGACCTTGATCACCGCCACGCCGCCCGCCAGCTTGGCGATGCGCTCCGCCAGCTTCTGCGAGTCGTAGGTGCTGTCCGTCTCCGCCAGCTCGCGCTTGACCTGGGCCACGCGCGCCGCGATCTCATCGCGGTTGGCCGCGTCGGCGATCAGCGTGGTGCTCGTCGCCGCCACGGTGAGCTTGCGCGCCGTGCCCAGCTGCTCCGCGGTCACGCTCTCCACCTTCATGCCGAGGTCCTTGGCCACGAACTCCGCGCCGGTGACGATGGCGATGTCCTGCAGCAGGGCCTTGCGCCGCTCGCCGAAGCCGGGCGCCTTGATGGCCACCACCTGGATGACGCCGCGCAGCTTGTTCACCACCAGCGTGGCCAGGGCCTCGCCGGTCACGTCCTCGGCCACGATGAGGAGGGGGCGCGACAGGCGCGACACCTGCTCCAGCAGGGGGATGATGTCCTTGATGGCCTCCAGCTTGGCGTCGGTGACCAGGATCAGCGCGTTGTCAAACTGGACCAGCTGGCGCTCGGGCACGTTGACGAACTGGGGCGAGACGTAGCCGCGGTCGATGCCCATGCCCTCCTGCACCTCCACCGTGGTCTCCATGCTGGCGCTGGACTCGATGGACAGCACGCCGTCGGCGCCCACCTTGTCCAGGGCCTCGGCGATCATGCGCCCGATGCTCTCGTCGTTTCCCGCGGAGATGGCCGCCACGGCGCGGATGTCGTCCGACCCCTTGACCGGACGCGAGCGCCTGGCCAGCTCCGCCACCAGGTGCGCGCAGGCCTTGTCGATGCCGCGCTTGATGCTCACCGGGTTGGCCCCCGCCGTCACGCTCTGCAGGCCCAGGTGGATCATCTCCCGCGCCAGGACCGTGGCCGTGGTGGTGCCGTCCCCGGCGGTGTCGTTGGTCTTCCCCGCCACCTCCTTGATCAGCTGCGCCCCCGCGTTCTCCACAGGGTCCTCCAGCTCGATGGCGCGCGCGATTGACACGCCGTCGTTGATCACCTGGGGAGTGCCGTACGACTGCTCCAGAACCACATTGCGACCTGCAGAATTGTGAGTGGGGGTGTTGGCCAGGGAGGTGGTGGAGCTGGGCTCAGGTATGCCAGGGGTGCATGATGAGCGCTGGAGCAAGGTGCTGTGAGAAAGGCAGTGCCATCCCTCACCCCTGTCCTCCACATGCATGAGCAAAACCTCAAGCCATACACGACTCCATGTTCCCAACTCTACACGTACCACGAGGGCCGAGGGTCACGGCCACGGCATCGGCAATCTTGTTGATGCCGATCTGCATCTTGCGACGGGAGTCATTGTCGAACAGGATGTCCTTGGCCTCCGCGCGCACGATCTGGGGGCATGGAGGAGGGCCAATCAGGATGCATTGCATTATGCCATCTGAACCAACAGAATCGTTTCGTCCTGTGGGGTCTCGGCACCTCCATGCCCCTCCCATGCACCACCCAACCCTCGCTTCCAGAAAGTACCTGGGCACACCTCCGACCCGCCCTGGGACCCCGCACGGGCCTGGTCTGGGTCCGTGTTCCAGTGAATGGACGTGCCAGCATGGCACTAGAGGCCTGCGATGGGGTGAGTGGGTGTGGTGGGTGGGCATGCAGTGCCGTGGGAGGGGGGGGGGTGGTGCTGCACATATGGCGGGTGTCGGGCCCACCCCGCCCAGCCAACCTGAATAGCGGCCAGCACCATCGAGCTTATATCGCGATTCTGTATATACACGGAGTGGAGAAGAGGCAGGGAGGCGCTGCGCTCCCGGACAAGTCCCCGATCATGCGTTCCTGTGCCGCGCGTGCTTTCCTCTCGCACCCGTGCATGCGTTATCCTGAAAATGGTTCTTTCCCCGTGGCCAATGTAGCCGAGAACATGGCCCGGCCAGCCCATGCCCCGGCGGATCCACCTTTGGTACCCTTCCGCCATGTCTTGGCCTTACATCACCCTTCAAGAGCCACCACGACCCTCTTAAACATGCACATGGCCTACACTTCCCTGCACCCCAGGCGTCGCTGCCGCTCCGGCCTGCCCATAAAACTACCCGCGGCCCACCAGGGTGGCGCTGGCCACGGCGTCGCCCGGCTGGACTTTGAGAACGCGGTGGCCCTTGGTCCCGGCCCGGCCAAGCACCCGGATGTCGCCCAGCGCCAGGCGCACCGACAGGCCGTTCTCGGTGGACACCAGGACATCAGTGCAGTCGCCAGACTCCGCCTCGGCCCCATCCACGCTGCCGTCGCGGTCGATGGCCACCGCCCCGCCGCCCTCGCCACCCACCACCACCGCCGCCGCCAGCGCGTCGCCGGGGTTCAGCTTGATGGCCTTCAGCCCGCGCCCCACGCGGCCCTGCAGCCGGAAGTCGGCCAGCGCGACGCGCTTCCCCAGGCCCCGCCGCGTGAGCAGCAGGAGCCAGGGGCCGGGCGTCTCCTCGGCGGCCGCCGCGGGGCCCTCCTCGTCGTCCTCGCCCTCGTACTCCTCCTCACCGCTGGAGGCCTCGGCCTCCTCCTCGGGCCCATTGGCCTCGGTTTCCTCCTCGGCCGCCACGCCGCAGGGCAGCACGCCCATGCCCACCAGGTGGGCGTCGCCACGCAGCAGCATTGTCTGTGTACAAAAAGAGAAAAGGGGGGGAAATGGGGTCTTTGAGGGTGGGTGGGGTTGATTGCGGGGGTTGTTGAGGGCATGGCGTGAGTTTGGAATGCGGGGGGCGGGGGGGGGGGGGCGTCTATGCATGGTCATCAGCGGCCTGCTAAGATCGAGCGTCAGATCGGCAGGGTCCCACCTTCACGCCGCCCGCCCCCCGGCTGGAGGGCCGGAGGAGGGAGGTCCTGAAGTGGATGACGTAGCCGGTGCTGGCGGCCAGGAGAATGGAGTCGGTGTCCCCCGCGGTGCAGACAAACCTGACGCTGTCGCCCTCGGTGAGGCCCATGGCCAGCTTGCCGTGGCGCGACATGCGGCCGAAGCGCGCCAGCGGCACGCGCTTGGCCAGGCCCTTGCTGGTCAGTAACACGACGTCGTCGTTCGGCGGGGGGGGGTCGGCGTCTGCGTCCTCGGCACTGCTACTGTTGCCGCCTGGAACAGCCACAGGCTCGCCCGGCAAGGGGAGCACTGCCGCCAGCACGCCGATGCGGGGAAACAGGGACTTGATGGCGGTGCCGCCGGAGGTGCGGGAGGCCTCGGGCACCTCGTAGGCGCGCAGCGCGTGCATCTTCCCTGCGGCGGTGAAGAGGAGCAGGCGGTCGTGGTCGTTGACGGCCACCACGTCCTCCACGCTGTCATCATCGCGCAGGCCGGTGGTGCGCTTGCCGCGGCCGCGCAGGCGCTGGACCGAGAAGGCGTCGGTGCGCATGCGCTTGATGTACCCGCGCCGGCTGTACACGATGAGGGAGGGCGCGTTGGGGGTCACATCCTCCGTCTGCAGATCGCCGCTGGAGCCTGGGGTCCGGGAGTTTAGGGTGGGGGGGGAGGTGGGATTTGGGCTTTGAATCGAAGGGCGGGATGGTGTCCTTTTACCATGCCTGGGCGCACCCAGGGTTTCTCGACAACAAGGCCAGTGGCATATGCATGGCCACCAGCAGTTTGGTCGATGAGAGAATCATGCCGCCTGTGATGGCGGGCGCCAGGGCAGCTGCGCGCCCCAGGTGTCCTCGGACCCAGCCTTTTGGATCATACAGACTGCATTCCCACCCAACCCCGACCCACAAAACCCCACTCACCCGGGTCCTCCGAGACCAGGGCCGTGCGGCGTGGGCGGCCAAACTTCTCGGCGATCTCCTCCGCCTCGGCCACCACCACGTCCAGCACCTTATCCTGACTGGCCAGCAAGGCCTCCAGCTCAGCAACCCTGAGGGTGGGGGGTTGCTTCAGACAGCATTTGAATGTGTACATACCCCTTGTTCTCAGGGCCCTGGAGCAGTCAAACCCCCTCCCAATCCCCAACCCACCCCCAGCACACACACATGCCTGGCCCTCAGGCTGGCCGCCTCCTCCTCCAGGTTCCCGCTTTCCAGCGAGGTCAGGCGGCGCAGCGCCAGGCCCAGCACGCCGTCTGCCTGCTCGCGGCTGAGCCCATGGCGCGCCACCAGCGCCGCGGCGGCGGCGGGGCCGTCGGCCGCATCGCGCACGCTGCGCACCACGCCCTCGATGTCGCGCAGGGCCAGCAGGAAGCCGTCCACCAGGTGCAGGCGGCGGCGGGCACGGCCCAGCGCCGCGCGCGCGCGCGCCGCCACCACCGTCGCCCGGAAGTCCAGCCACTCCTGCAGGAAGGCACGCAGGCCCAGCGTGCGGGGCATGGACCCCACCAGGGCCACCATGTTGCAGCTGAACCGGCCCTGCACCGCCGTGTGCTTGTACAGCTGGTTCACCACCAGCACCGGCTCGAAGCCTGCAGTGGAGGTTTTGGACGGTGGGGTGAGGCCATGTTGGAGGGCGTCTGGTCGTAGCACACGCGCGCTCCGGCAGGGCCGGCCCCGGGCCTGCGCCACCCAGGCCTGCATGGGATGCAAGGCCCCAAATGCGCAGGGCACCCAGGCCCCACCCCCCACAACCCTACCCACCTCGCTTGACCTCCACGACCACACGCATGCCGTCGCGGTCGGACTCGTCCCGTACGTCAGACACGCCGATGAGCGTGCCCGCGTCCACCAGGCGCGCGATCTGCTCCACCAGCGCCGCCTTGTTGGTCTGGTACGGCAGCTCCTCCAGCACCACCGCGGCGCGGCCGCTGCCAGCGTGCCGAGCGCCGGCGCGGCGGCCTGCAGTGGGGGCCTTGGCCGCGTCCTCGATCCGCAGCTTGGCACGCACGGTGAAGGTGCCGCGCCCCATGGCATACGTGTCGGCCATGGCGGGCGACAGCAGGATCTCCCCGCCTGGACGTGGGAGGGAGGGAGGGGTTTCGAGCGTGGAGAGAGGGCTGCACACAAGCTGGGTTGAGGCAAGGGTGGGCGCGCAGGGAGGAGGGGTCGAACTAATGCTGAGCGTGACTGCACTGCACGGACACGCTGGTGCAGAGAGAGACCCACAAAGGTGACACGGCATTTGACAGCCCTCCCTTCAACACAAATCTTCCTTGGCCCATCCCATCCCCCCCGCCCGCCTACCTCACCCCCTCTCAACCCTCAGCTCCCCCCCAAACAACAACTTACCCGTGGGGAAGTCTGGCGCGGGGATGTGGCGCATGAGCGCGGCGGTGGAGATGCGCGGGTTTCGGGCGAGGGCCCTGAGGCCCGCCACCACCTCGCGCATGTTGTGAGAGGGGATCTTGGTGGCGATGCCCACCGCGATGCCCGAGGAGCCGTTGACCAGAAGGTTGGGCAGCCGCGCCGGCAGCACGGTCGGCTCCGGCACCGACCCGTCGAAGTTTGGCACGAAGTCCACGGTCTCGGCCTCCAGGTCCGCAAGCAGCGCCGCGCCGGTGTACGCCTGCAGCCGGCACTCGGTGTACCTGAAGAAAGGATGGAGAGG